TATATATATGAAGAGAGGAAGGAAGAGGAAGAGGCTTAAACAAGCAAGATCTTATTCTGGATGGTAAAGTAGATCAAAGATCATAATTAGTTAATTAAAAACATTTGAAAGGAATGGAAATAAAAATAATAAATTAAATTAAAAATTAATATTGATATTTTGAGATACGATCAATCACTGCCACATCACCCACCATCACATATTAATATTTAAAATCATCCGTTTCACGTATTTATTTATTTTATTTTCCTATTAAAATTATTCCACAAAAACTTGCTTAATTTAAAAACAAAGACCAGACAATTAATTAATTAAAAAAATCTTCACTAGTCCAATTTTTCATCAAAATTTTTGATTTTTGATTCCGTTGAGACGCATACATGTGTGGGTGAAAGAGAGAGGATTTGATGAATTGATTGTAATTATTTATTTTTTGGTCGGGAAGACGATATGTAGATCAAGTAAGTATGTTTAGACAAAGCGATCTTCGAATTACACAAAAAGTTTATGTAACTTCATTTTACACTAACCAAATTTGAGTCTTTGTGTTTAGTGGCATTGGAGAATAAAAAATGTTATTTATTCTAAAGGGAAAAAGAAAGAAGAATAATTGATTGAATAATGAATTGAAGAAAAATATGGAAGTTAGGGAAATTAAATTCGTAAAATTGCATAATTTATTTTTTTTATAATAAGTAAATTAATTAATAATTTCCAATAAAAGCATTTTTAACAATTGTTTTATTTTGTATATTATCAGTTATTATATAATATTTTGTTGATCTACTTTATTTCCCCTGAATTATTATTATTATTATTATTATTATTATTATTATTATTATTATTATATTTGTTCTCACTTTCCACCTCTCTCTCTCAATCATTCATGAGTTAGTTAGTTTAGTAAAAATAAATTAGAAACTCTAAAGATTATTAATTAAATCATGCCAATGCTGTAACACATTAATTCTCTATTGATATTATTTGATCAAATCAACCAATTTCAAAAAAATCTCTATCCTCCACAATATTTTATTTTATTATATAACTATATTATTATTGTATTTTATATTAATATTTATATTTATATTTTATTATATTATTACATATGATGGTTCTTTATCGTACAACGTCGGCAATATAGAGAATATAATATGTATTTAAAAAGTGTATGTACACGATTATAACAATAATAGTAGTAAATTATGCGAAAATAAAAAAAACCTGTTAAATGTTGTTGTAAATATAAAATAAATAAATAATAAAAATAAATTTACGATTCATCGAAACTATTTAATTGGTTAATTAATGATCGTGATTATGATGAACGAGAGCGAGTGATTATGGAATGGAAGAAATGAAAGAACAGTAATAGTAAAGCGAAAAAGATTGATCAATTGATAAAAATCGATAAATCACACATATTTCAGAGATCAAAATTTCAATTCAGGCAGGGATAAAAAAAAACTTGTGATAATTGTTATTTTTTGATTAAAGTTTATTATTTGTAATTTGTAGTACCTGGTTTAAAACATACTTGTATAATAAAAAAGTACCTTACAGTAACAAAAATAGTAATAGCAGTAGCAGCATAAATGATCACGTACACGCCCACGATCAACCTCATTTTTTCTATCTATTGTGTGTCCATTTAATTAATTATTAGATTTTTTTTTCTATTAATTTAAATTCCAAAAGATAAAAAAAAAACCGAAGATAAAAGTTTCATTTTTGTTTTTATCATCTAAATATATAAATTAAGAATAATGACAATCATATATATATATGTAATATAAAAAAATCAGATTGAGATTAACGATTATGTCATCCATCAATATAAACTCTAAATATTTGATAAATGATAAAACAATTCTCCACATTTTTTTTTCTAACAAATTTATTTTCAAAAAACCTTTCAATTAATCTTAAGAAAAATAAAATTTATTGTTCTTTTGATCTTGTCAAAGCCAAAAAAAAACAAATTAATTATAAGATGGTAAGTGTTTTTTTGTGGAGAATATTTGGCAATTCCATTCGTACATAAAAGAAGAGGATTCAAACAAATATGCCATAATGATGATATCCCACATATACACGTATATTCTTAATTTGTTCTTTGAATGATATATATAATACTGTACATAAAATCCTCAAAATAATTGATTTATTTATGGTTTAGTATGGCTTGATATATATATAATAAATTGTTTGATTATGGTAACGACTGGTAGGAAGACAGGTTTTTGTTAAGATCTTTTTTAAT